GCTTTTATAGCATTGGCAGGATCAAAATTACCATATTAGCCTATGTAGTAAACAAATTAATGAGGATCAATAGTGGGATCAAAATTACCATAATATGGCTTACAAGTTATAATTATAATAATTATTACAACTTGTAATGGATCCTATTTTTTGATCGAAGTTCAGATCTCTTATTGAGGCCATAAGGGCTAATTGTACACAGCTGTGCCATCCAATATGCTTCTCTGGTCAATAAAGGATTATTGGCATTTTCGCCATTCACTATATAAGTCAACTTTTTCAATCGCTACAAATTCCAAATCTTTAAATTCGTGTTTATTTTCATTAAATGAACGGCCATCTCACAAACTTTCTTATCCGTAAGCATAGCTGACTTGTGGTTACGAAAACGGACTTTAAATTCAGTAGATGTGGATCCAACATACTGAACATTGCATTTTTTGCAGGAAATTAAATAAACTATGTTAGTGGTATACCACAATTAATTTCTTGTTTGATTTTGTATGACCGACCGGTACTAAAACTCCTAAAACAGTCAGTCTCCTTCAAGAAATTATTACACAAATCACATTTTCGCTTACACTTGAAACAAGAGTGGAAAGAAATTTTTCCGGACAAGTCTATAATAACTGCCTACAGAAGGCCAAAAAACCTTAAGGACATTTTAGCACCATCTAAGTTTGATAAGCAGCACGTGTTGGCGGAAAATCAGGTTATATATATATATATATTTATATATATATATATATATATATATATATATATATATATATGATAGGAAGTAAAATAAATACATATTTTATGTCTCTCAGGTAATATATAAAGGATGGAGTTCTCCGAGAGCAATATAAATAGCAATATATCTAGAAAAGGGTACGTATGTGATATTGCTCTCGGAGAACTCCATCCTTTATATATATATATATATATATATATATATATATATATATATATATATATATATATATATATATATATATATATATATATATATATATATATATATATATAGACGGTACCGTTTCGGCCTAATGGGCCTCATCAGTGTAGTGCTGATGAGCAGGATGAAAGTAACTCTTATTTATAGTTACCTTTGATGCCTCACGATTGTGGGACATCAAACCATGCCAGAGCGCTCAAACTGCAAGCAGTGAGCGTGCGCAATGCGTAAGCGGCATGGCTCATCCTGTAGAGCGCTCAATATGACCCAAAGGCCATAGAGCGATATCTAACTACAGACGGTACCGTTTCGGCCTAATGGGCCTCATCAGTG